TCAACAGAAATATAAGTAGTAAAGTAAAGGACAGATATCCAAAAAAAACGACTTAAGTACAGTAACGAAGTATTTCTACTTCGTTACTGTACACCACTGGGTGAATGTGTGTTTGTGTGTGTGTGTGCATAGTTACCGGTGAGGGTGAGGGTGTGAGGGGTGCGATGCTGCAGTCATTTCTAGCTGTGGCAGGCGATGAAGGGGCTGATAAATTATCACCTGGGAATGAATGGAGATAGAGAAAGAGGTGGAGGAAGGGAAAGAGAAAAAGGATATGCAGTGGTGGCTGACGATTAAAATCTCATTATAAACATGTTTCAGCATTACGCCACACACACACACTCCACTGGAAAATAGTAGGAATAGCCCAAAAGAAATCTGTGTGTTTGAGGCGCTATGCAGCCACTCTCTTATCACAAGGAAAGAGCCATTATTGGACTGTCATCAACTGCTGCTGCTAGCAGACATGGAGACCTTATTTTCCTGACCTGGAGCTGCAGATATCAAATTGAATGATTTTAGTGAACTGGAATGACTGGAATCTGATAAGAGTAATATTCCCAAGTGGGAGAGGGACACGGAGAGGTCGGCGTATTCACTCTCCAAAAGATAACCAGAGAGAGAAGTGAGTCATTCTGATAAGGTTGATATAGTAACGTAGCATGTGTATGAACCGTACAGTACTGTGTATTTGTGTCTCACCAGGTATCTGCAGGCTGCCGGGGTCCGGCTGCGCCACGTCAGCCATCTTTACAGGAGCCAGGGTCTGCGGAGAAACACAGCAACACCAACATGGTGCAAAAAGAGTCATGAATGATTTATGGCCTCCAAATAAAATGACGTAAAAGAAATACAGTGCATGAGATAGTGGGAGCAATTTTGGACACACCGAAGATATTCTTCGGCCAAGGAGGGGAAGTGAAGAAGACACACCCCTGACCATCTTCTTACAGCACACTTGAACTTCAGGTTCCCAGCTACTAGGACTGCTCAGACGCCATTAACTGGTTGCTTTGGGAAGATTTCAGGTTTGAGTTTGTGAATCAGAATGTCTGCCAAATACTAAATATGTAAATGTTATATGAACCATCTTTTTGTCTGGGTTAAACAAACAATAAAATGTGTAAAAAGTGAGAGAAACTGTTAAAATATATGCTGTATATAATCCTAATTATTGGGTTGTCTCTATGCCCACTGTATTTCCTCCTGTGCATACATTTACTTTGTGTCTTTTTGAGTATGTGTGTGTGTTAGTTTACATTGGCTTGTGCGTGTGTGTGTGTGTGATCTGAGCCAAGAGCAAACTAAACAGAGGAGTCCAATAGAACAAAGCTGTGTTTGTTTAAATCTCGTTCTGTAAGTGTGTGATTGAGAAAGAGACCGGGAGTTGGTTTGACATCCTTTCTTCGAGTACACACATGCAACATCTGGTCTTTATTCAGGCATGTGCCCGAAACATTTGAACATTTGTGATGTGTACTGTTGTCACTGGCTTTCTTTCACAGGGCCTGTCCTTGCTGTTTGATGATAAAACCAGAGGTTGAAACTCCACATCTCTTCCCTGCTTCATCTCTCTTGCACATACTTTTTTCTTTCCTTCTGTTTCTGTTGCATCCCGTTGTCTCTGTGAGATCAATGTGCAGTGGACGATTTACAATCCCCCCCC